TTTTGGTGGTAGTTTCTGGAAGAGTTCGAGTTGCTGTGAGGTTGCGACCTCGGAATGCTGAGGAGATGGTAGCATATGCAGATTTTGCTGATTGTGTGGAGTTACAGCCAGAGGTTCCATAATTGTTTCTTATCTTCATCGTGTTGTAGATATTCTACAATTCTATATTTACCTTTTCACCCAGCTGATGTATAATTTTCGTTTGTTGCAGCTGAAAAGGTTGAAACTCCGTAAAAACAATTGGGACTCAGATAATTATGAGTTTGATGAGGTTCTAACTGAGTATGCATCGTAGAAGCGTGTATACGAAGTTGTAGCCAAACCTGTTGTCGAGGTAAGTATCTGAGGCTATCTTGTTATTTTCGATGTTTATAGAGGTTTATGACTTAATATGATCCTTTTCGACAGAATGGCTCAGTATGTTTTAATGTGTGATCCTAAAACGTTTGTTCCTGCATATTTAAAGTTTACAGCTAGACATCTGACTATGTTCGACTTGAATTATTATTGTATCTGTCGGCATGTTTTGCTGCTATCACTTATTATATCTTCGGTCCTGCATAGTTAATATTAATTTATATCAGGTTGAACGAGTGTGTTTAATAGAGTTTTTGTTTGGCTTTTTCAAATTTTACTAGCAAGGACTGGTTAGATTTGCATTTAAACTCTTGACCTTAAATTTGGAAGTAATGTTATTACATTTAAAAGATTATGAGATTCTGGCAAATGCTAATTTAAGGTGTTATTATGTGCCAACTGCCATCATAGATGGTCTGCTTAGTGCTATGATGTCACGTCTCTCGATTTTCATTCATTTATTTTCATCTACAAAAACGGATAATTTGTTATTAGTTTTCCATGGTTTCTTAAATCTTACAGTAGCATTATCGATTATTAATTTTCATTTCCTTAATTTTGTCAGAGTGTTCTAGATGGTTATAATGGGACACTGATGGCCTTTGGTCAAACTGGTACTGGAAAGACTTATACTCTAGGAAAACTCGGTGATGAAGACACCTCTGCTAGGAGGGTATAACGGTTAGTTCCATGGAGGATATACTTGCAAATATCTCTCCAGAAACTGATTCTATCTCAGTTGCTTACTTGCAGGTGACATTTAAAATCCACATGATATGATTATCTATTGATGAATTTTGTTTTGCATTGTTTGGTTATATAGTAGAGGAATTCTTCAAATTCAAATGCTGTTGGGTAGAAAAAGTTTCAAAAAGACTAATGATCTGTTGAGTGATACTGTGATTGAAGTTTGATGGTTTGAGGATTAGGATTCAAATTTGAATGTTGTGACAGTCTTTGAGACTCAAGTTATGGTGCAGGGATAAGAGTCTTTCTTACAAAATCTATGCATTTGCCTGGAACCCAGTTTTGTTATTTTACTTTTGATTCCTGTTGAGAAAACTATAGTTGGTAGTTGAGTTAGGTCAAAAGACTAGTACTTGTTGACTCAAATCATATATGGTGCATTGTTAATAAGTCTGACATGCTAAACCCATTAGTTGTTTTTGTCCATTTGAGACACCTTATGCCAAAGTTTTGACATTTTGTTTCGATGTAATTGTCTGCTGGGCTGAAGTATGCGAAAGATGTTGAGGAGATTATCACCTAATGAAGCAACTGGCCGGGTTGCTGCTTTCATTGCCGAACCCATACAGGTCGATCTTTATAGGCACTTATACAGTTTGTACTATATGAACACTTTTATTTTATTATTATGTTTCTGAGTATTCAATTGCTACAAGGAGTTGGTGAAGTTGTGTTGTTGGCCCTGGGATACTTGCCGGCTGTCTATATTGCTGTTAGAAAAGCTGGCGGCCTCCGCATAGCTGATGAGATCCAATCGAGCTTTGCGCGCACTGGCGATTTTTGGGGTTTTGAGGCCCATGGTGTTGTTCTCAACATTGTAACCACGGCCAAGGTACTTTTTTTTTTTTTTTTTTTTTTTTTTT